CCCCAGAGACATCTCTCCAGCCCCAGAGACATCTCTCCAGCCCCAGATCTTTCAAGTTTTTTACTTTTTGAGATAAGGTTTTACTATGTAGCCCTGGAGAGCCTGGAACTTATTACATAGACCAGGCTGGCTTCAAACTCAGAGATCTGCCTGCCTCTCCTTCCTGAGTGCTGGGATTAAAAGTGTGCACCACCAAGCATGGCACATGGGGGGCGGGCGGGGGGATAGATGCTTGATTGCGGGAACACATCTTTCTCTCCCCCTCTCCCACTGGGGATGATCTTTCTCTAGAATCTTCTGTTCTTGCTGCTGTTGAGGCCTCTTGGTGCCCTCCAGACTTCTCTTCCTCAGATGGTGATCTATATTTCTCCCTACCCAGGCATGGAGAGGGCTCGGGCCCCATATTCAGGTACTAAACGAGGTGCCAGGTAGACCTTCCAGCCAGCTTGTTCCTGTTTCTCAGGCCTGCGTCTGCACGTGGTGTGATATTATTTCCTGAATTACTTCCTCCCCACTCTGCACCCCTGCTGGGAGACAACCCTGGGACCTCACCCATGCCACTGCTACACTACTGAGCTATATCCCAGCCCCTTGTCTTATTATAATTTATTATTATTTGAGACAAGACCTTCCTAGATTGGCCAGCTTGGCCTTGAACTTGCTCTGTAGCCCAGCAGGCTTTGAATTTGTTGTCTTCTAGTTTGAGCCTCTAGGGGCTGGGATTCCAGGCAGGCCTGAGGCACTGGGCCTGTCCATTTTTTAAAGATAATTTCTTGCATCATTTATTCTTTCTAGAACACTCACTAATCAAGATTGAAACCTCTGAGTCAGGCGGTGGTGGCACACGCCTTAGTCCCAATGTTCTGAGGCAGAGGCAGGTTGATCTCTGTGAGTTCCAGGACAGCCTGGTCTCCAGAGTGAGTTCCAGGACAGCCAGGATTGACACACAGAGAAACCCTGAATCTCTGAAATCTCCCCCTAATTTCTTACCTTTCCCCCTTTCTCGTTTCTTTGTCCTTTCGGAGATGACACCACTCCATTCAGCCTTCTGGTATTTCCGTCACTTTCTGTCATTTCTGTGCCCCCTATGAGGAGCTCTCTTGTGCCCTCCCTCCTTGTTCTTCATTCCTAGCACCCTGTTCTTGTTTCACGAATACAACATCTTTCATCAACCTAGAGGGCAAGAATCGCGTTTTCTTTTACACATTTCTCTCAGTTGGCTGCTGCTGGCGCCTCATTTTCTTCCTTTGTCTCCCCTGGGCCTTGGGTTCTTACATATGAAACTTTCAAAAGAAAAGCTGCTTCAGTTTGTGCTGATGATGGGAGGCCCATGGGGCACAAGAGCACAGGCTCTGTCTCTGGGGACTGTAGACTCCCTGTCCCAGTCCACGTCTCCACGGGACAGGCTTCCTCCCAGGCTGGCTAGCTCCTGGCTCTTGATTCACTAAGGAACTGGCAGCGCGGGGGCCTCGGACTCTCTTTCTAGGGCCGTCCAGGGAAATAACCAGCCATGGCCGTTCACCAATAGCATTCCTGAGAGTGGGGTGTGAGGCCTCCCAGACTCCGTGTAGGCCAAAGCTGTGTGTCTTCTATTTCAGGCACCCCAGGCTCACTGAGAACATGAAAGCAACTCCAAAGACACCGTCTTCAGGCGCTCTATCTGGGTGCCTGGCCACTAAATCCCTGAAAGTCTTTGGGATACAGGGACAGCATCTTCTACATGGCCCCACAAACACACCAGAGCTCAGTCCCCAAATGGATGCCGGATCCACCTTGTGTCTCACTGAAGAGGATTGGGTGCTCTCTGAGAACCAGCCTGACCAGGGGTTCTGATGAAAAGGAGCAGAAACTGGGCCAGAGCCACTCAGTAGACCCAGATGCATTAGTGAGGGTGACTCCCAGCTGTTTCTGCTCAGGGTGGGCTCAGACGGCCCCACAATTGAGGCCTTAGGACCTACAGTCCACAGGCTCTTTGCCACTAAATAACCTTCAGTGGGAACATCCCTGGGGCACAGGGGTAACAGAACCAAGGGGCAGGACATCATGCAGAACCAATGAAATCTTGATAGACATCTCAGGGACCATTGTGGGCGTGGTCCTGCGTGGGTGGGCCTCTCTGCACCGGGTCCTCTGCACCTTCACCCTTTCAGGCAGGTCCTGTGTTGCCTTCTAGTCCCCTAAGCCTGATTTCTTCCTAGTCTGAGGCTGTTGCAGCTGGTTACAGCTGGTCACAGGAACCCAAACCACCCTGAGTCTGGACTTTCGGCCCTGCTGGAGGCCTTTCATCACCAGCTGGGCCAGCTCCACCTGGGGAAGCTCTGCTTCTTTAGCAGGGTATTCAGCCAGCCCACAATGGTGGCCTTGTGCTTGGGCGATCCTGCCTGGCTGAGCTGGGGACTTGGACTGGAAGATAACTTGCAACAGGGCTCAGCTTTGTAGCCAGTACGTTACATTTGTCAGGTGGGGGGACTGAGCTCAGGAGGAGCTCAGCTGAGAGCAGTTTTGCCCACCTGGAGACAATCTGTAACATCTGAAGACATTGCTGGTCACACCCCCTGGCGTTCTGTGTGCTGAGGACAGGATTCCTGGATCCACAAGAGCACAAAGAAGCCTATGGCAACCAACTGGTACAAATGTTTCCAGAGTTGAGGTGGGGAAAACCAATCATAGCTAGCTGCCACCCGCCTGGCATCCAGTCAGCCCACAACATTCACCAATCACTCCCTACTCCCCTTCCACAAACCCAAGCAGCTGGTAACCACAGGGGTCCCTTAAGGGAGCAAGGGTTAGGGAACCTGGGGCTAGGCCCCCACTGCCCAGTTCACCAGCTGAAATACACACCCACAGAAGGTACCCTCTGGCCGGGTAAGTCTTCTTGGACCCCTCCCCAACTTCTGCCCCTTGTGTGGCTTCCGTTCTGGCAGTGAGAAGCAGGGACAGAGGGAATGCGAACTGCCTGGGTCAAGCCCCAGTCAGTGAGCACAAGGGGAGGAGCCAAGCTCTGAGGCCCCATCCTGACCTAGATGGCTATCCTCAAACCAGGAAATGGATGCGGACGACAGGGGATTCTGGACTCACGATGCTACAGAGGGGCAGCCACCTGCGTTATGTCACGGAGTGAGAAATGCCAAGATGGATCTAGAAACCAAAACCAAAACCTGCAGGCCCTGTGGCCAGACAGAAATGCAACCGTCACCTTCCAGGGAGCAGACCTGCCGTCTCCACAAACAAGCCCTGGGAATCTCAACCAGCTACTTCACCTCTGGAGGCATCTTTCCTCCTCACAGGACTTCCTCACACGTGGGTGGAGAGTGGCTGCCCTGCAGGAGGGGGAACACCGGGGCAACCTCCCCAAAAGTTTCTTTCTATTGGCCTGGAGAAATGGTTCAACAGAAATCAACAGTGCCGGCTCTCCCAGAGGGCAGGGTTCAAGTCCCAGCACCCACATGGCAGCTCACAGCTGTCTGTAACTCTAATCCCAGAGGATCTGATGCCCCCTTCTGACTTCCATGGGAGCCAGGCACACCTGTGGTGCGCATACATAAACACAGGCAAAAACACGTAAACATATAAAACAAAGAAATCTTTAAAAATAAAAGAGTAGTTTCTGGTTTTAGGTGCTTGGAGAAGGGAGTGACAAGGAGCCTCTACTTAACTCTCTCTGCCTTGTTCTCTGTGTGACTTACCCTTACTTTTTCAAGGAAGGCTGGAGACCCCTCTCTCCACCAGGCTGTACAGAGAGAGGCTTCTCTCTGGACGATGGGTGTTCTGAGAACACAGACTGAGGGGAGCATTTATCTCCAGAACAAGATCACAGCAGCAGACGGAATCAAGGCATTCTGAGAGATAAGCTCCCGGAGGCTGAGGCAACTTGCCTGAACTCACACATAGCAACTTCACAGCCTGGTGCCCACACACCAGGGTGGGAAACCAAGGGTATCCGTGCATACGGGCATACAGTCACAAACGAGACCACACACGGTACCGTACCGTTGGTATCCACTTAGGGGATATCAGCTCCTGTATGGGTTCCAGGTGTGATGTGGAGATCGCACCGTGGCTGCTACCAACTCAGACCCCTGCCCTAGGCCCAAGCCCAGGCCCATCTTTCTCAATCAACCTCTAAATAGATCCCTGACCTTGATTTACAGATGTGAGGACCAAGGCGGAGGTAGGGGGTGGGGACGGTGCCCACCGTCCAGCCTGTAAGTGGCACCCACAGTTTTCCGAAGCAGTATCTCACCACCCCCCCCCCCTCCACACACACCCACAGTGAAAAGCAGTGAGGAGCCTGGCTAGACAGCTAGCCACCAAGGCCATCAAGGCAGAAAAGGGGCTCGAGGGGGTCAGGCTCCTCATTCTTGGAGTCCATCTGAACAGACAGCCTTTCTAGCTCCCAGAAGAGTCACTTTCACGTTCCCTGGGACCTCCCAGGAGTCTCTGCGCCCTGGTGTCTAACCGGGTGGTTGCAAAGTGTCCCTTGGACTGCGCAGCTCAGGGCAGCTCGGCTCCCAGTCCCGAGCTAGCAGCTCCAGCGAGAGGGCGGGACGCGACTTTATCGCCGAGGTCGGGAGGGGCTGGAAAGGAGCAGAGACGCCCGGGGCGGCGCAGGTGGCCTTCCCCTCGGCTCACTCTCCAGTCCCCAGACTCACCTGAGCGCGCGGCCGAGGAGCGGCGGGGCGGGTACGGCTTGCAGAGCCGCTGGGTCCCCGCGTCTTGCGGCCGATCGGTCCCGCCCTCGCTACTTCCT